AGTTCTTTATCTCAAACGAATGAACTATTCTTCCAAACGGATAACAGCAGTTTTTTTTTAGTTCACCCGTTTGCCACTAGTCGAATTGTTGTTTGATCTGTTTTTCGTTTCGTTTTTTCCAACAGCAGAAATGCACCCCAACAGTATTTCTTTTTTTCTAGGGCTGAGCCTATTATATATATGTGTGTGTGTGTGTGTGTGTGTGTGTGTGTGTGTGTGTTGTGTGTGTGTGTGTGTGTGTGTGTGTGTGTGTGTGTGTGTGTGTGTGTGTGTGTGTGTGTGTGTGTGATTATGTGTTGTGAGGCATTATGGTAGACAACTCGGAATCCTTGTTGGACAGTGGAATGTTGGGAACGAAATCCGAATTGATGGGTTGGAATTATATGTGATTCTATTATGGGTAGGATTCTTTTCAGTAGGATCTTTTCAAAAATTGTTGATAGGATTGGGAGTAGGCTTATTGCTCAATAAGATGATGTATTGTTGGCAGGTTTGCCTGGTTTTAGAAAAAGGACGATGGTGGAATGTTCCCATAGGTGAAGAAAGTGGGTAGTTCTTAAGATGCAATTATAAATATATGTAAGGAATGTGGTAGCTTTGGGTGGAAGTTGTCGAAGGATCTGTGGTGTTAGGAGGTCGTATCCAGGAGATTTACGGAGAGGAAGTTTTTGTAAGTGATGTTTGACCTCAGATGGATTAACTGTTTTAGGTGGTAAGGAGAGTGGAATCGGTGAAGAGAGGAATTCTTCTACTTTTACGGTATGGGTTGAATGGGATTCTGGATGAGGAGGGAATGTACTGGAGAGGTGTCTGGCGAATTCCTCAGCTTTATCTTCATCAGACGCTTCCCACATCGACGGAAGGGATGGGAAATGTAATGGGATTTTAGGATTTTTTTTGTATGGTTTTCCAGAGGGAATTGTCGTGAACAGAGAGAGAAGTGAGGTAGATATCAAAGAATTGGGATCTGAAGGATGATAATTTTTGCTTTAGTAGTTTACAATAATAATTGTAGGAGCGGCGATTGATGGGGTGTTCGGTACGTTGTCATAATGGTCTGGCACGGCGTTTGGTGAAAGAAATTTAAATGGTTTTCCATAGAAAAAAAGGAGATTATTATGAATCAGGTAACTGTTATTGGCTATATTTTAAAAGATTAATAGAGATTTATTGTAAAAGGTTATTTGGCAAAACTTTTGAAATATGCTGAAGATGGCCAAAAGCCGAAACGTTGTATTGAATTAAAATTAGATAATCATTTAAGGTAATTTACTGAATGTATTTTATTTATTAATACAGTTGTAAATATCGTAAATAAATAATAAAAACAATTTAGGTATATATATTCTTTTGAAACATGTTTATTGAAAAATATTACAATCTGTCTCAAAGGACATTTGTAATAGTGTTCAGAGATTACATTCACACTCTGTGTACAATAAATAACATAACATATACAGTTAATAAGACGAAAGTAACCTAAAAATAAATAAATAAAAATGAACACATGCATACCTATATGCACTATTTATAATCAGGCGAGAGAACTCTGAGCGAGACTTGTCCATCCAACTGTGAAGGGAAAAGCATGACTCAAGGAGATCCCTACACTTCTCTCTCAACCGCGTCACTGGGGCTTAACCCAGTGGAGATTGAGCGAGAGTGAATTTAGCTATTTATTGAATAATAATACAATCAGCCACTGCTGGAGGGCTATAAGCATTAGGGCTAAAAGTTCTCATTCATACAATATATACAAATAATAAAGAAATAAATATAAATATAAGAAGTAAATAAATAATACTGATGAAGAAGGTAAATAAATAAATAAAAAAAAAATAAATAAAATAAAATAAAAACTTCTAAACACAATCATAACTATATACAATATATACATTTGCCCAAGAATCTCCGAGCCAGGCTTTTACCTCCACACGCGGAAGGCAAAGCAAGACTCCGGAAGATCCCAGTGCCACTTTTCCAGTCGCATCACTAGTATTAGAAGCCAGTGGAGACTGAAAGAGGGCAATACAGCCACAGACGCTCAGGACATGAGTGGAGAAGCTGGCCATTGCCAGGACTCCAAAGGCATATTTACAAAAGATCTCGAGGCCACTGCCGTTTCAACCTTCGAGGGGGATGGTATGGATGCTCGGAGCTGGATAGGGATTGCGCTAGAGGATTGGGATGATGAATGAGGTTCTGGTGAAAGTTGGAGAATCTGGATGGGATGATGTCATGGACATATGGGATGTTAAGGTCATGGTGTAGGGTCTTGTTCGTGACATAATATGGAGCATTGACTATTGTTCGAAGGACTTTGGACTGGAAGGATTGGATGCGTTTGATATTCGATGATTTAGTTGTCCCCCACAGTTCAAGTCCGTAGGTCCAGATAGGTTTCAGTATGGTCTTGGATAAATTTAGACATTAGATACAATTTTAGAAATCAGATAAAACAGAAGATCAAAATTGTTCTATCTATTATCATAAATTAACAATAATTGATTATAGACAAGGATGGCATATTAGGCCATAAACTCTAATATTTTAACATGATGAGGAGTTCAACCCAATCTACCTATTAAAGCACTAATTTTATTATATATATATATATATATATATATATATATATATATATATATATATATATATATATATATATATATATATATACAATTGTAAATCAGTTCAGTGTAAGCATTGGAAGAGATAAGACGTGCCTCTCTGGTTGCTCACAGATAATAATGGATACAACTATATTAATTTCTTTCTCTTCCAATTTTTCACTTATTATATATATATATATATATATATATATATATATATATATTTATTTATTTATTTTACTTCATTTCACTTTTTTTTTTATTACTTCATATTTTAAATATTTATATTACGTTTATTTTATCCTTCTATGGGGGATCCTATAGATTTGAATACCCTAAAGGCTAAACGAAAACGACCTCGGGGTCGTCTTAAATTTGAAACACAAAATACGAATGCTGCGATCCCAATTAATAAAGCGATACCAAGTAATAAACAACTAAATATATCTATTACATCATATATCTGATTATTTAATTTATTTTATGTAAAATAGAAAAAATCAAGAACACAAGCACAGAATAAGTACGAAGCTGTAATGAGACTTCTAGTGAGGCGCTACGTAACCGCAGAACAGAGAAAAAGGGATGAGGTTGGCATCACTGAAGATGATGTAATGGAAATCAGGCAAGACATATCCACTCTTCGCTTTGAATTAATCGATATTCTACATAACAACGGCATGAAGACGCCAAAAATTGATCCTAAAGACAGCACAGGTGAATTTAATATTTTATTAAACAATTCTTGTAGACTTATATTTGCTACAACTATATAAATAAATGTCTGTATACACAGTGGTGTGAAAATGAGCATTATTTTCAATTGCCTACAAGTCAAGAAACCAATCCGTTGTTTTGAGGTGGTTTTTTTTTTACTCTGAATAATCCTTCCAGTCTCTACTCTTTATTGTTAACATCAAGAGCCGTTGTATAAACACAAGAAAGAGTTACTTTATGTATCTGTAAAAATTGTTCAAATCTTGGAACTCTCCCCTTTTTTTCCGGCAATTTAATTTAACGTTCTATATTGCATAATTTTCTATTTTAATTCACAAAATAGTACCCTAAAATGGTTCCAATCTTTCTTGGATTAAAGCCATTCTCATTGGTTCCAAACATCTGATTAATTCCATTCCTTATTATTCCCCCTACTCTACCTCAATAGCCTACCTATCCGTTTCTACACTTCCGTTAGAAATTTTGGGCTAATGTTTGATCAATATGTGTCTTGGAATAAACATATTTTTCAAATAATCCGAAAATCCATTGCTACCCTCAAACAGTTCCTAAGATTACATGATTTCACGTCCCTTAAAATCCGTCAGCTCCTAGTTTCCTCACTCATTTCCCCTCATTTCGATTATGACTGCCTTGTATATGGTGGACTGTCTGGTGGGCTTAAGATCAGGTTAAAGAGACTAATGAATGGTTTCATAAGATTTATTTTTGGAGTTCCCACGTCTCCAGTTGGTATGTCGAGTTGAAGTGGCTCTATCCAGTCTTCCGACGGCAATACTTCCTTGGTTTATTCCTTTTTCGAAACTTCTTAACCATAAAATTCTTGTTTCTTCTCTACCTGTTTACTCCTTATTGCTCTATCCATTCATTCAACACGAGATCCCATCCCTCAAACCTGTTTATTCCTTCTCATAGACTGTTTCGTTTAAAAAGAATCCTTTGTCATGCGTGCTATCTTGCTGCTGCCAACCTCTATAAGTAAATCCTCGTCTTTGACCTCATTTAAACATAAAATCTAGAATACAACACAAAAACAATAATTATTTTTCCATCTCATCAGCAATCAATCTTCGGAATATTTGTAACATAATGTTCACGCGTTTCAGACCTGTCAGTCACATTTAATGTTATCCTACAGATAATTATATATCTTCCACATTGTTAATGAGTATATGTATGTGAACTTGCACATCTGAATTTATCTATAATTTCATATTTCAGTCTGGCCCTAGCCTTAAACAGATAGGTCGGTGTTCTTTTCAATTGTGTAAAATTTTAAGTGGTGCTATTACAGTTTTGTACACCGTCACTAAAATATTTATATTTCTCTTTGTTGAATTAAACTATTAATACCTAATATATCTTACAAAGTAACAAACAAAACACCGATATCGGTGGACTGTCTGGTGGGCATGAGAACAGATTAAAGGGACTAATGAATTGTTTCATTAGATTTATCTTTTGCGTCCCTAGCCGCTCCGACGTCTCCAGTTGATATGCCGCACAGTGGGCCGAGTAACTGAAAAACATTCGACATCGGCAAAAAAAAAATATTTTTTATAACTCCAAAAACTAGATAAACTTTTTAATTGATACCTTAGGCAGTTTGTAAAAATAATTTTAGTCCTCAGAAATAACATTTTATACTGTTTTTAGTAAATAGTTCAATTAAAAACCTAGTTAAAATGTGGAATTTCGCGTGATTTGTAGGTTTTGTAAAATTTCTCGGTTCGAGCTAATGGTTGATAATTTTTTCTTGAAACTTTATACAGTTTTACTGTCATTCTGTTCACTTAAAAAATGTATATAATAATTAAGAAAACTTGTTTTACTTCAAATCTTTTATGTTAACAAAAATAGGTGTTTTAAAATCAAATTAAAAAAAAAATTAATTTAGTTAATTAACTCTCTAAATACTATTATAAATGTCCTTAATTGTGACAGATTATAATATTTATGAATAATTAAAAATATAAAAATTATTTAAGCAATTTAAAAAATCCTCCGATATCCTCCGGATAATTGATTTCACACAACGATAAAGATTGTTAAAGATTAATTCGTATTAATTTTAACAAACCCCAATTCAACCAACCAATCCCAAGAACCTAAAATCAAATAGACAATCCTTAAGAACCTCTCTGTTGTTAGCTCGAAAGCCTGCACACAGTATCCAGTCGACCCGAACAAGCTAAATTTTTTTTTTACTAACTATTCTTCATCCATATTTTCATATGACCGCTCATCTTTTTCCATCACCGAAACCCCCTTAGATCCTGATAAGTTTTATCTTCTCGATAACTCTCCTATTGAAATACTCTTTGCCACCTTTGAATCCAAAACGAACGATTATGGTCCTAACCAAATACCTTTCAAAGTTATCAAACTCTGCCTTCCAACCTTACTTCCCGCAATTCAACACATATAATTTCTTTCTCCAAAATTCCATTTTTCCCAAATCCTGGAAAATAGCCATAGTCCGCCCAATGAACAAAGTTTCTACTATTTCATCAGATTCTGACTTCAGACCCAACTCCATTTTATCCAATCTATCCAAGCCTCTAGAAAGATTAGTCCACTATCAGTTGAACAGCTTTCTCGAGCAAAACCATCTCCTCAATCCTTTACAATCTGGTTTCCGTTCCCATTATTCCACACAGTCTTCCTTGCTAAGGATTACCCAAGACCTCCAATCTGCTATAGATAAACAGAAAACTTTTAGACTTTTTTAAAGCGTTTGACTCCGTCAATCATGAGATCTTTCCAAACTCTAAAGCTTGCCCACATCAAAAAGCGTCCTAAAATGGTTCCTCTCCTTCTTATCCGACCGATTTTAGACAGTTGTAATTCCGAACAAACTTTCATCATCTCCCCTTCAACTAATACGAGGTGTACCTCAGGGTTCCTCAATCTCCCCGACCCTTTTCTCTATTTTATATTAGTGATCTTCTTGACGCCATTCGACATTCCTGCTACCAGTTATATGCCGATGGTTTCCAAATTTACCAATCATTCCAACCTTCTGAGATACTTGAAGCTGCCCGGAAGCTATCGACTGCATCAACTGATGGGCAGAAATAAATGAATCGAAGATAAATGCTGATAAAACTAAGGAAACTCTCATCGGATCCAGACATCTCATTAGATCCCTTCCTAAAAAAAATACCTGAAACCAAAACAATAAACGAAAAAAAAATATTAAATCTTCGTTTTCATTGTTTTAGAACTTTAATTTAAACTTATTAATTTGATGTAGATAAGAAGTAATCTTTTATATTATTCTTTTAACTTTATATAACCATACTTTATTTTCGGTCTAGTCTAAATAAATAAACAAACACAAGACCATTAAATGAACTAAAGTTTAAAATTAAATAAAAGGTGTAGTCAATGGGTATAAGACGGCCTCAAGGAAAAAAAAAAAAAACTTTTATTTACTTGTTCCACTAAGATTACTGTCTGTAAGTAATAAAATGTAATTGTTTTCAATCTCTAACCCTTATTATTTTTAAATATCGTTATAATTCCAAAACGGTAAATTAAATCTGAAAGTATTTGGTTGAATATTTTTGACTTGATCTGCATCAGTTGTTAATATAATCTTTAAAATTATTGAAAAAATTAGATATACTTTTCATCGGAAAATGTGAGGAAGTATCGATGGTGTTCAAAATATTATTATCGATGGTTTTTAAATGTATTTGTATTTAAAGCTTTAAGGATTCTTTATCAGGATCTGAGTCAGATGATAGAATGGCGGTGTCATCAGTAAATGTTCTCAGGAAGGTATCGAGACCTCAGAGTATTCATAAAAACTCCCCAAGACCTAGACGATGCCGTAAATTCCTTCACTACCTCAATCCAACAAGCAGTCTGAACTTCTTCCTCATCTTTTTCTTCCCTGAAATACCACAAGAAAGATCCTTTACCTCAAGACCTTGCAGACCTCATTCAAACGATGTTCCAGGACCCACTGGCAAAGATGGAGGCATCCTGACGACCGGAAATTGTACAACCTCCTTTAAAAACATTTAGAAAAGAAATTGGCTACCTTCAGATCCCAATCCATAAATTTCCACTTTTCCCCCACTCTCTACTTCTGTTAATTCTCTCTGGAATGCAACAAAGAAAATCCTAAAACACCACACCATGTCCCACCACCTCCGACCGGATAATAGATCCTGGGCTTCGTCAGATGAGAACAGGGCACTGGAATTTTTAAAGCATCTATCCAAAACATTTATCCTCCATTCTGAACAGAATTCCACTCACACAACCAAAGCTAAGGAATTCCTTTCTTCGCCGATTCCTCTCTCCTTACCTCTTAAAGCTGTTAATCCCCCTCTGAGGTCAAATTCCTTATAGCTAAACTGAAACCCAGAATAGGAAATTTCCTGGATACGATCTTCTCACTTTCTAGATCCTTCGACAACTTCCTAAAAAAGCTATTATATTCCTTACCTACCTGTACAATTTTATCCTTCGTACAATCCACTTTCCTCTGATATCGAAACACTCCATAATCAACCTTTTCTCAATAACAGGCATATCTGTCAATGAAACCTCGTCTTACAGACCAATTAGCCTTCTTCCGATCCTCTCAAAAGTCTTTGAAAAAATCATTCTCAAACGAATCTTACCCATACTTGAATTCCAAAAAATTTCCTAACATCACTTCGGTTTCCGCACACAATATTCCACATTTCAACAAGACCTTCGGTTTGTTGATCACATATCCTCCACACTTTAAAGCAAGCAATATTGCACCGGCCCCTTTCTGGAAGTAGCTCAAGCTTTCGACGATTGTGGCACGATGGCTTGCTTTTCAAATTCGAAATCCATTCACCCCATTCCTTATATTTAATCCTTAGATCTTATCTTTCCAATCGTTCCTTCCAGATACGCTGCTGCACAGAACTATTTTTACAATTATCTTATATTTTTGTTATTACTTTATTGCATATATTTTTTACTTTGATGTTTTCTTATTATTTACTTTTTCTTAATTTGTATATAATAGTATGACTGCACACATAGAGCCTTAATGCTCAATAACCTTGATTTTGGTAGATTGTATTATAATTATTCCAATAAAAAGATTATAAAAAAGTTTGAACGACTTGAAAAAATAATTGCCTGGGCTAATGGGTATAGCGGAAAGTAAGTATAAAGGCTAAATGTGGCAGATTTTGTTCTTTTGTTAATTGAAAATAGACCTAAGATTGTAATCTGGAAATGCATCTTCAATGTTGCATTTTAATTTATATACATATATATATATATATATATATATATATATATATATATATATATATATATATATATATATATATATATATATATATATATATATATATGTATATATATATATATATATATATATATAAATATTCATTTACATCTATATTTTTTTTATCTCATTAAATTAATAAAAATATGCAGTTATATGTATTTATCCTTAAATATGCAATTGCATGCATTTATTTTCAAATATGCAAAATAAATTTAACTAATTGCATCAGAGTGTACTGATTCGTATAGATATTTGATTAAAGAAAAATACGCAAAACAAAATATGCAATACCGAAAAATTCCAGGCTCTAGTCATAATACATCAATGATATTTTTAATTATGAGTTTTGATTTAGTGGTTTGTAATTGCACATACTATTTTTTAGATGTGAGGCATTCCGTTCCTTTAATTCTTCTTATGCATTATTACTTATTAAAAATATTGGAAATGTTTTTACGTAAAAAAAAAAAAAAAATGTTATCATAGTCATAACCTGTTCTAAAGCTTTTATTTGTTTTTTCATTGAAATTCTTAAGAAAAACGTATGCAATTTGAAATTATTAACCTTGTATTCGTATTGTATCCAGTTCCAGGTAAAAAAGGCAGAGTTATGGAGAGAAGACTTCTTAAAGATTTTCAAATTGGATTTGTTGAAGGTATTATAAACGAAGCACTTCAAACGGACAAAGAACCAAAGGATGTATTTTCAAAAATCGCTAGAGCCATCGGTAGGAGGTCTTCGTCACAAAAGAGCAAGAAAGACTGGAATGCACTTGTAAGAAAGGGGACATTGAAACGAGATCCAATTGGGAGTGCAAGTGAGGCCATAGCAAGGAAGTCAAGACAGAGTGCCAGAAAATACATTATCGAGAACCAGAGTTCCTCCCTTACCACGATTGACACCGAGAAACTTTTAGAATACAATCCAAACCTTTCTCTTGTTTCACCGGCTGCCAGGATCGCTTATACAAAATTTAAGCTGACCAAAATAAAGAACGAATACAGCAAGAGGGAAGCTGCTGGAAGCGAGACATGTTCTGAAAACACATTTGAGATGTCTGATCCGGTTGAAGAAGATGGTAATATGATACAACCACCAATACCAGAAAAGAAGGAGATGTCCAAGCAAGATCAATCGACAACCCAGTCGTTTAGAGCGAGAACCCCGATAGCTGAAGATCCAAGAGAAGATCTCATGACGCCTGTAGAAGATGATAAGACTTTGAGTGCTGGAGAAGTAACATGTTCAGAGGGGTTTATAAAAGATTCCTTTGAAACAGTAACCCCAGAAGAAACGTCACCACCTTCGCCTCCACCGCCTCCAAAAAAGCAACCCCCAAAACCAGGAACTTGGTTCTAAACCAGATTAATTTAATTTATATAAATGAAAAACAACATTATTTTGCGATTTTAACGAATATAGCCTGGCTTAGTGGTTAGGTACAAGGTGTGTGGATGGTATCCAGGCTGCCATTAACTTTAATTAATGTGCAAATAGTTTATGTTAAACGATACTTAATGTCGGAATATAATTCCCTTTAAACAACCATCCTTATTTGTGACATCGAGTTTAATTGTAGAGCAGCTTACAAATTTCATACAAAACTATTCTATAAAAACATAATAAAATACAAATCCTAATGGTATGTTAAGAATATGTAAGTGTGATTAGTGTTGGTTATTTTAGTTTTCAAATGTAAATGAAGTACTATAATTGTTGTAACGATTTGTAAAATTTAATAATTAAATTAGTAATAAAAGTGTTGTTTGATTCCTCATTTGAATTTAAGATATTATATATTTTTAAGTAAATTCAATCGGAGATTAGCTTTTATTTTCTGAAGATAGACAAGCATTATGAATATGGCTGCCAAGCAAATCTATTTCATGAATATTATTCTTCCATACTAGATTAAGGGTTAGGAGATCATCGCTATATGAAAACTATGAAATATAGGTGATTAAAGAAATTTAAATTCATTCTTTTTTTTACTAATAATTGAAAATACAAATCAACATGATTGAAAAACTCCCTATTTATAGGTTTATGTTTTTATATATCCGTTTTTCTAAGAAGGATAGTGGTACAGAAACAGCACCTATTATTTTGTATACTTACTATATTAGATAATTCTATCGATTCCAAACGGGAACCGATCTTAGGTCAGGTTTTGATTTATAAAATAATATATTCATTACGATCCCACTAATACTAATACTTAAGGTCCTACCAATCGGTAGACCAGTCAGCTGACGGAAAATCTTATTATCATACTTGAATATACCATTGTTACATATAAATTTTAAATCCTGCATGCAGATTTGTTTATTCGTTATATATGTGTGGCTCCTAATAGTGTCACATTCATCATTAATTATATTACAAGCTAAATCTAAGAGAACCTGAGTGAAAAGAGATTTTACATCAAAACTAGCAAGAACCTCATCCTTTATTAGATGTATATCACTATTTTTTTTTTAACTTTAAAATATTTTTTTACGTCATAGTCATTCATTTTATTTAAACAATTTAATGAGTTGTTAAAGATTTTTTTCTAATTGTCAGTGGGTCCTTTTATATTGTTCACAATGGGCCTTGAAGGCTTATAAGGTTTATGCAATTGAAGGCTTATAAGGTTATTGCAATTTAACCAGTCCGTATTTTCCAGGACAAGTCACAGTATGAGTATTTAATAATTTCTTCTTAGCATCATCAATATATTTATTTTTATGTAATTTATCAATGAATTTATTACATTTATTGGTCAGCTCATTTAGTGGGTCTTTTTCTGATTCACTCTTACCTCCCTGTATACCTTATTGTCATTAAGTAAGAAACACATTTTTTGTTTGTACGCACAAAGGATGCTATCGAGGTATGTGTGTGCCGAGAGGCAGTTACCAGAAGGTCTCGAGAGGATAAGATGAATGAGTGGATAAAGGAAGATCCATAGATGGATGACCTTGAGTGACAGGCGGATCAGCACCCAATCACTCTTGGCCTGCGGTGTTAGAGATCAAGCTTAGCACTCCGCAAGGATGGTAACCACAACCGGAGGGATCAATCTCCTGACTCAGTATATAGGAATACAAGCGTACAGAACAGCGTCCAACTTGCAAGGAGTATGAGAAGAGGATAAAGGTATAAGGATATTGTTAATATGAAGAGTAGACTAAGGTGAACCAAAAGGGTATATGACACATATACTGACCGCTTGCACAAAGGTCTACACCCTGAAGGGGTGGAGATCCGTAGATCTGGCAATTTGAGATTTGACTAGGGTATTAATTCCGCCAAGACTAAACCGGCTACTAAGAGACGTTACAATAACAGTTATTTTTGAGCTTTGATCAGTATATGTTATCGCCATTAAACTTTATCAATAAAAAGTATTTACAATGAATATGCGTATTTCAATTTACAATTTAAGTATTTTTTAATACAACAATAAGAAATAAAAGTACAATTTTGGTATGTTGCACAGGCGAGCTTGTAGAGCGCTGCCTGGTAGCGGGTAGACGAACTTGATGTACCTGTAGTAAGAGCGGGAATAGGGTGTTGCTACAATGAGTTATTAATACGATACGTTTCTTTTTGTCCGATTTAATAATATATAAATTAGGATTATTATTCATGATTTTTTTAAGATCCAACAAATTTTTCTTTAAGAGCCTTGAAAAAGGGTCCCTTTCATGTGTTTTATGGAACCTGGTCCCTTTCAAAATATGGAACCTGATAATAACTCATATTTTGAAGAATCGAAGGAAGAGACTCCATTCTCAGAAATAAGCGAAACTGACTCGCAATATATGAAAAGACGAAGCCTACAAAAGTGAAACCGACATTCAGCCCCCGGGTAAAACCCAATAAAAAAAAAAAAAAAACCTCCAGGCAAGAAATCAACGCCAAACACACCAGGTAATGCCAATACATCCGTAAAACTAGAACCAAAACATTATCTACTTTAACCAGTAACTCAACTTATAGAATACTAGCTCCAGAATAAATTATAAAAAAATTATAGAACATCTGATATCCAAAAATTACGATTTTCACTGCTATCAACTTAAACATGAAAAAGTATACAGGGTTGTCTTGAAGAAAAAGGACACGGCCTCAGAAATATATCATCCGTTCTGCATCCAAGAGAAAAATATTCCCTACCCTTATTTTTGTCGACCTTAAACCAACCAAAACAATACGGAAATTTTTCAAGTAAAACGACTAATATACTCTATTGTACGCTTTGAAGAACCACAAGAAAAATCTATAATAGTGCAATGCACAAAGGTTTACTGCCACAATCAGGCCAGATGTGTTAAATGTGCAGGATCTCACCCGTCTGGCACTTGCCAGAAACCATGGCAAAGACCTGTGACATATGTTCTTTGCGGCGAAGCTCATCCTGCGAGCTACAGAGGCTGCGAAGTGTACAAAAATCTCCTCAAGCAAAGAACTCGTAACTTTGAGATGAAAAGCCTTATTTCATCTGCGCAGGAAAACCGCACAGAAACACCTGAAATGGGAAACAAAGACATTTCCCCGAAATCATCGGTTCAACCCAGCAAACAACCACCTTCTAGCTCAACACCACAACAGAACACCAGAAATTCTCAATTCCCAACTACGCTCAAGAAGCAGCAGACTCAACGTCGGGCGCCACAGGCTTCCCAAACCAAGCCTAAATCCTCTAATCCTCAGTCTCAACCTACAGGTTTGCAGGTCCCTCCTCATCATCTACCCTAAAGAGTCAAACTCCTTTCAGAGCGTCCACACCTAGTCCCATCCAATCCAAATATGAAGACCCCTTATCCACAGAATTTGGATCTAACTCCGCGTAACTCACGTCGTGCACTTCCCCCTTTTAACATTCCTAGTCGAACAAATCATCCATCGCAACCTCATGATCCAAATCCACTTCACAGCCACCAACCAACCGACATCACTTCGATTTTAACAACCTTTCTTATATATCTTCAAGATATTATCAAACCGCTCATCACCCTCCTCACTAGACTAGTTTCCGAAATCCCATTCAACTTTCCTCGATGCACACAAAGCCCCCACCTATCATCTTATGGAACTTTAATGGACTACAAAACCACCGTGACGAACTAGACATATTTCTTCATGACAATTATAATGACATTGCTCTTCTGACAGAAACTCATTTCCCAGATCACCAATTTGGATTCCGCTCCTCCCATTCCACTATACAGCAATGCCATCGTGTGGTAGACGTAGTATCCTCTGCATTGGAGCGCGGTATGTACTGTACGGGAGCCTTTCTCGATGTTGAACAGGCGTTTGATAGAGTTTGGCACCCGGGACTGCTGTACAAACTCCGAAAATTCCTACCATCTACCTACTTCCTCATTATCCGTTCCTACCTTACTGATAGATACTTTAAAGTAAATCACAACAATGTATATACATCCCGTTTTTCCCAGTCTGCAGGTGTTCCTCAAGGTAGTATCCTAGGTCCTATCCTTTACACAGTTTATACAGCTGACATCCCAACCCATCCCAACACTGTCATCACCACATATGCTGATGACACATGTATCCTATCAGTCAATAACGACCCATCTATTGCATCCCAAACCCTTCAATCCCACATCACAAACCTTGAAGAATGGTGTCAGAACTGGAGAATTAAAATAAATTCCAATAAATCCCATCAAATTACCTTCACCCTTCGTCGTAAACCAATGACTTCCTGTCCTTCAGTATCCTTTAACAACACCTCACTTATTCCTGTTGAACAAATCCGTTACCTAGGACTCCATCTGGACAAACGTCTAACTTGGAATCCTCATACCAGACTGAAACGACAAGAAACCGCTCGACGTTTCCGACTACTTCAACACTTACTAGACAAACGCTCTAACCTTCCAATCAATTATAAAAGACTGATTTACATGACTATAATAAGGCCTATTTGGACTTACGGGGTTGAGCTATGGGGCTCCACCAAGCCTTCAAATTCCTCTCGCATACAGTCCTTGCAATCCAAAATCCTTCGTAAAATCCTCAATGCTCCTTACTTTGTTACAAATAAAATTATCCATAATGACCTTAATGTTCCTTATGTATCAGATTTGGCCCAATCCAGATATCTGTCCTTCCATAATAAACTTCATAACCATCCCAACCCTCTTGTCTCTAACCTTGCTTCCTATTCGATTCCTGATAACCCTCCGAGGCGTCTGAAAAGAAGATGGCCACGTGATCTTCTAATATAGACATATTATTAGAGTGCTACCAATGGGTAGTTTCTCAACATGTGTTCCATGTGCAATACCAATGTGCAAATTTACTAGATGTATTTTTTTGTATACAGTTGTAAATATCATTTA